TTTGCAAGTAAATTTATCCATAAAAGCGATGGACCCAAATTTTTGCGGTGGGCTCTCGGACTATAAGGTACATAGTACATACATACGTTGCGACGCGCGTAAGCGTGCGCGGTTTCAATCGTTGAAACTTTCCGTCGTGAATCTTGGCAACTTCACGCGACTCTTCGCGCTGAGTCGCCTGAGCGGCCTGAGTCGCGAGTGGAAGATGAGCTACCCGAGAAAACGTCGTATATTCGGCAGAATGCGGCCCGATCGACAACTCGCGTACTCGTTGTTCAATTCGCGATTGTAACGAGCATTTACGCGGTCGGTTGCATAAATTCTGAGCTGTAAATTTTACCTAAAAAGGAGAGCCGCCCGCACGCCGTTACGTGGTCGTCTGCCATATTTACTATAACTGACGCTAAATTCGCAACAATCATATGACGTTCTCTTGCCGCCAAAATGCATGTGTCCAAAGAACGTAATAAATAGCGTAATTAGGAAAAATTATGTACAAATGACAAAATCAGAGAGATAACGATGAAAATAACGAAAATGAAAGATTACGGCAATTAAATTTGCGATCGAATGGAATGAATAAACATTTGTCTCGAAATTTTCGGATATCCCGCCAGATTCCATTGACTCTACGCATCTGAAATTTCTTTATCCAAAATTTCTTAATCTCTCGAGTCCTGTAAAAATATGAAAATAACATTTATTCGAAAACATCTTTTGACGAAAATATGTTTGAAAGCGTTGCTTAATGGGATGGCACGCGCAAATGTTGGTCCACGTACGCGACCGCTTATTTAGTGAAAAATGTATGCCAGCGTAAATTACGACATGATTCTTTGGCTGCGTTCCGATATTCACTGCAAGTACTGAAAATCTATAGTGTATGTTTATATAGATTTTCAGTACTGACAGTGAATATCGAAACGCAGCTTTTGTCGTTTTAGACTGATATTTGTCATACGACAAATTTTTTAAGCGTATTGATTAACTACAAAATAAAAAATTTGGTAAAACTGAAGATTCAGGGCGACCTCACCGATTTCAATGACCTTGATGTATGTTGTCAAGGTCATGACTCTGAGTGACCTTCAGAAGGTTTTAGCCGTCGCTCGCTATTCGTTAAAAAGTTAATTATTAACAAAAAAAAGTTTGGAAAATATAGCAGCTATTTTGAGTATTGGAAGGCATAAAGAACGGTAATTATGCAGTAATAGGGACCACCCTCCGATGACCTTGACCTTGACATATGTTGTCAAGGTCACCCTCCTGAGTGACCTTCGGAAGGACGCGCTTTAAAAGTATTTAAGTGTTAAAGCGCGTCAACTAACTTATGTAGGTTAGTGACGCGCTTTAAAAGTATGTAAGTGTTTAAAGCGCGTCACTAACCTACATAGAGTATTTAAGTGTTTAAACACAACATGTATCAAGGTCATTGAAATCGGTGAGGTCGTCCTTAATCTTCAGTTTTACCGAAAATTTCTAGAGACTCGATCGAGACCTTTTCAACTTTGTAACCCATCAACACGCTTAAAAAATTTGTCGTATGACAAATGAAATATTAGCCTAGGCCAGTATTCATAGTTGGATCTTATTTCAAGACCGACTTAATAAGTAATATCTTAAGATGCTAAAATAGTCATTTCATGGGCTGGATGGAGTCTTAAGACTGCCTTTGACCAGACTTAAGACAATCTTAAATATAAGAACGGAGTAAATCATATTTACTTCGCCAATCAAATAATAACAAGTAGAAATAATACTAATCGACTCTATTTTGGCCATTATAATCGTCAAGACAATACGACAATGATTTGGTTCTTATAAATTGATGTAATCTTTGATACTTAATTTATATAAGTATATAAGCACCTCATTTAAATAATTAACTTTATTGCGAAAAATATTACGTCAGCCAGATTCAAACCTGAAACTTCCCTCATTCCGTGAAGGGTGTCGTACCAATTCGACCACTAAAGCATGTGCATGATAATATTTATTATTTATTAAATATAGATCTGACTATGAATACCGGCCCTAGACATTTACGATAATCGAATCGCGAATGCGAAAATATGTTCACCCCAGCAAGAAATGACCCGTCGAATCGAGCGTCTATATGTATGTCGACGTCTGTAGACGTCTAATTAGACGTCGGGTCAATTCTCGCTGGGACAGCTGTGAAACCGAATAAATTTTTGTATTTGCTTGTCATTGTTGATCGTCAATCACCGTCATGACAGACGCATGTCCAAAATCGTGACTTATAAAGACATTTTTAAGACGTCTGTCTTATGTCCCAATTTTGAACATGCCTGGACGTAAACATGAGAAGAGAGAAAAAACGGCGGGCCGCATCCTAAAAATTCTTCTAATTCGCGATATTAAGTTATTAATCCGTCGGAAAACATTAGCCCGGCAACCGTCAGGGATATTAAACCGCGGAATTCAAAAGTTTCCTAACGCACGCAGTCGGTTTTATGAAGCCGCGTTGTAATATTTACGAAAACGGGCGGCCGCCTTCGTTTATTAATTTACCGCGGGAAGTTATAAAATATTATAATCATTATCCTGGGGTTGTAACGTTTCTTTACGAGCAAACTTACAAGCTCGTGTAAAACACCCCAGGTAGCAGACAGTCGTCATAATGACGTGATTCTAACGTCATATTATGACGTATGTTACGTCATTTATTCCTAAAGTTTAACGTAAAAATGACGTATTTTTCACGGTCCTAAGTCACATCCCAACGACGTCATTTTCTGACGTTTTATTGACGGCAAAAATAGGTCTAATGTACGACATACCGGTTTCTAGAAATGTTTTTTATGAAATTAAAATTTTAAAATGTCTACTTGATAAACGTTTACAAAAAAATGTTCTTTTTCTTTATTTAAAAAAAAAAAAGCTTTTTTAACTGTTTCGTTACTGCCATGTGCGTATAGCCGCTCTCAAGGCGGTCACCCATCCTAGCACAGTACCGCGTCCGAGTCGCTTGACTTTGATGATCCAGTGGACAGTGACGATCTTCTCACCCTGATGTTTCCTTATTAACTGTACTTGTCTATAACAGGTACATCTTTAAAGTGTTCAAAAATCTTGTAATGATATCTTTTTGATAGTTATAACACTGCATGAAATAGTTGTCATAAAACTATAATTACACACGCAACTAGATCCACTTATACCATAAATTCACCACGTCGTTCATAAAGTTACGAAACACTTTATAAATGTAGGAATATTCCTGTGAAAAATACTGTGAAAAATGTCATTTTTACGTTAAACTTTAGGAATAAATGACGTAACATGCGTCATAAAATGACGTAAGAATTACGTCATTATGACGACTGTCTGCTACCTGGGTAGTCAATTAAACGTCTATATAATGTCATTTTACAAAGTCTTTTTGACGTATTAAAACATGACGTTAAATATACGTCACATAATCGACGAATGACGTTACTGACCAATTATGACCAAATATTGACGTCAAAATGACGAGTGCTTGCTACCTGGGACACGATCATCGAAGGACTGTCAAGCTCGATTTAGAGCCAGCTCCGATGAAATATACAAGTCCGTAAAAGTTGTAAAGAATCAGAGAATGTGCGAATTTTATTTCTCTCCGATAGAAATAACGGAAGAGACAATTAAGTAGCTGTAAACAAACGTACCCAAACAACACGCATGTCCAAAATCGAATAAGACGTCTTTAAGATGCCTTATTTCCCGATTTGAGACATTGTGTTCACTGGGTACATATTGCACAAGAAATCTGCTTTTTAATCTCTTTTTAGGCTGCGGTCCATTTTTGACGCTACAAATGCTTTGGAGCGTCCTCCTCCTTCTTTCTTCATTGAAAGAAAAGAGAAGAGGAATGCTTCGAAGCATTTGCAGCGTCAAGTGGACCGCAGCCTAAATGCGCTACCTTCATAAAATTTTTAATTTTCTTTTTATTTTCCATTTTCTATTTTATTTTCTTCTCATTCGTGATATTTATGCGTAAAAATCGCTTGGATTAATCTCAAGTGCGCTATGAGAGGTGTCGCGCTTTTTGGCGCGCTGAACGCAGCTGCAAGAGGCGATCGAGCGGCAAAACCAATCGGTTCCTCAAAGAAGGGGTTGATCGCCGCGCGGTTTCGCCGTTTTCCCTAGCGTGTCCGTCCGGTTCTCCATGCGCGCGAGCCGTATTCAAATCCACCAATGAGAATCGGCCGCAACGATTGAACGGCCAGCTGTTGGCGCCGTGCGCGCCGTTCCTTCGGCTCCTTGTCGTACTTGGCGAGTTGCGCAACAGTCGCGAGGCTTGGAGCACCGTAACTTTTGGCGCCAACGCAACGAGAAACGGCATATATTCGCGATCCACGAGAAATAGCAGCAGGAGTGAGTACGCGGATAGACGCCGACGTTAAATGCACTCGCCGTGACGCGGGTGACAGTCATGATAAGCGTTTTACGAGCACGTTCGCGAACCTAACCTGAAAATGTTGCAGTGCCACCACGGAGATCCAGGAAGCGGACGGCCGAGGACCCCACGCAAGCGGATAAGGCGCCGAAGCAGATCAAGAAGAAGCAAGGTACGACCTGGCGATTTTTCTATTCTGAAAATACTCCCTTTTTCCCCGAGCGTCGGGTCGGTATTTAATACCATAACCCTCGCGGTCTCGAACGTTTCATGCGAATATGAAGATATAACGTTTCTCAATCTGTCTTGCATTCGAATGTCAAATTAAGAACGTTCTCGAAAAGTCTTTTTCGAAACAGATGAACTGATATAAGTCGCTCTTCTATCAGGAGTCCATCTCGGTACAGTTTAATTTTATATAAATTTCTCTTACAGGATTGAGCATAAAACCAGATTTGCGGTCGCTTTCGATTGGCGGCGTTATGCTCGTATTTGGACAAGGCGATTTTGGACAGCTTGGCCTGGGAGAAGATGTCACTGAGAAAATGCGTCCAGCAGCCATATCTGATTACACAGACATTGTAGCTGTAGCTGCTGGTGCTATGCATAATGTATGCTTGAGAAAGACGGGAGAGGTACTGACTTTTGGATGCAATGACGAGGGAGCGCTTGGACGAGACACTACCAAGGAAGGATCTGAGACGGTACCAGGTGTGGTTGAATTACCCGGTAAAGCCATTCAGGTGACGGCAGGAGATTCACATACCGCCGCATTGTTAGAAGGTGGCCGAGTATTCGCATGGGGCACATTTAGGGTATATCTCTTCTATCTCCACTTATCTATATAATCGTCACTTGTTTACAAATTAGCGTTAAGAGAAAATCTCATTTATGCGATAAATTGATTTGTAAATAGGATACGCACGGTTCTATGGGACTAACGTTGAAAGGAAATGAGCGATTCCCCATAGAAATGTTACCTAACGTAAAAATCGTCAAAATAGCATCAGGTAATGACCATTTAGTGTTACTTAGTGAAATTGGACGTGTATATACCTGTGGACGCGGTGAACAAGGACAACTAGGACGAGTAGCTGCACGCACAGCAAGTAGAAATACACGACAAGGAATAGGTCTGCTACTGACACCCGGCGTAGTTGAATTCAAAATCAGGAAGAAGTTATATTTTGACGATATATGGGCGGGAAATTTCTGCACTTTTGCTAAGGAACACGAGAAGGGAGACATATATGTGTTCGGTCTAAACAATTTCTATCAAATTGGTAAGACAGATATTTATAAAGATCACGTGCTTTTCAGTTTTAAGTTCTTTTTTTACATATTTGTTGGAAAATGTTTTAGGTTTGAAGGACAACGATATTCATTTTCATCCACAAATATCGAAAACCTTTAGTGGCAAAGTATGGAGGCATATCAGCAGTGGAGAACATCATACCATAGCCCTGGATAATGCAGGCCAAGTCTTTGTGATGGGTCGCAAGGAATACGGTCGCCTCGGGCTTGGACCTAATTGCCCAGACGCGGAAGAACTTACGTTAGTTCCTGCTCTAAGTTCTACTAAATGCATTGACATAGGCGCGGGAAGCAGAGAATCTTTTGCAGTCACAGATTCTGGTAACGTAAAATGTGAATGTAGTGTAACGTTAACTATGCCTGAAAATGATTAATCGATCGATATATAAGAATCTATTTTTTCTATAATAGGTGATTTGTATTCGTGGGGTGCGGGAACGAATGGTAATCTTGGAACGGGAGATGTAATAGATGTCGAGGAACCAGTATTAGTTAAGGGAAAGCAGTTGGAGGGTAAGACAGTGGTGCGAGTCAGCGGTGGTGGCCAGCACACTTTGGCTTTGGCAACAATTCGTCCAGTGAAAGATAAAACTGCTGGTTAATATTAAATATTATATTTCAAGACATTCTATATGTTATATGAATTTAGACAAGACCGAGAAAAATCACTATTTCTTAACATTCATGATGTTACCTTGTCAAACTGAATTGTGAAAAATCTTCCCATTAAGTCTTCAATTTTGTTCAGGATCCATTTCCTTCAAATTTGTACATACTCTATCACATTGTCATAAATTCATTCATTATGCTTACAATAATTAATATATTGTGTTCTTATTGTGTTGTTAGCATTACTACTTATTATTATATATGTATCGCCAGAACAGACATTTTTCTACTTACAGAGGTTTGTGTATAAAAGTATACATGGAAAAAATACTTTACACGGACAAAAAATTATATTTTGAATAATCACAATAAAAATTGTTGAATGTGAAATAAGTATGATACTTTAGCCTAATTTTTGTGCCATTTAAATTTAATAATTTAGGTAATGTACACATCATTATTTGCATTTGAAGTTATGTTGTATAAAATCTTGAAGGCTAAACTATGTACATGTGTTGATCTACATTATAGTCCCATATAAAAGCTTTATATATAAACAAGCATCAATTTCTTCAAAAGCTTTATAAATAAACATCTTTTTCTTCAAGCTAAGTTTTTAATTAGTTCATAAACTAAACTTCTTTAATAAAACTCAACATAATAATATTTAATATGTTAAGGAAAAGATATGTTGCAATTAAATGTTTGAGAAAGTAAAAAATAAAAATGTATATCATGTCATAACATTCAGTTTATTCACAAATTTTAATACAGAATGATACTACGGTTTGTCAGTAATTTTAATTCAGGTTACAAGGCCTTGGTAAACTGTGTCGTAACTGAAGAGAAATTGAAGACATTTTGTAACGGATAAGTCGTGATCTTATCAAATGCAACTAATGGTAACAGATTTAACTCGTTTTCGGTTGCTCTGCAATTTTTGCTTCTTGCATCGAAATCTGTGTGAGTTTCTTACCGATACGTTCGTGAATATCTAAGTATTTAGCGATACAACGATCTAGACATATTGATTCTCCTTTGCCTAGTTCAGCCTCAGTATATTTTGGTGCTATGCACTTCCTGTGGCATGCGGATGTCATGCGGTTATACATATCCGACATCATTTCTATTTCCAAGTCCTGCACCAACTTCAATTTATCGTCGTCCAATTGTGGTAATGCCGTCATTCTTCCAACTTTTTGTACTCTACAGTTGCGCTTTCCTCTCTTAAGAATCTTTTAGTCCTTAATAACAAGTTAATCTACAACATTGGTGTCGCGCAATCGTTGTCTGGCTTTCATAATCTCATATCTCCTGGCATTGATGCTTCTCTTGGATAGCACAAATGCGTAAATTCCTAGGACAGTGGCTACGGACCTACAAAACGTAAATTTATCATTCTACACTAAAGCGCATATAAAAAAAAATTTTTTTTTAAAGCAGCAAGCGCGAAATCTGAAATCTTCGAACTATATGAATGTAAAAAATATAAATGTTCGAAATCGTATCCTGGAAACGATAATCATTGCAGCTTAATTTTTAGGTTAATGTGATGTGCGAAAATCAGATGCGAGAAAATCTGCGGAAATTCTTTTCAAGATACTATGCACACCTACCATCCAATTCCTACCTTCGCCCAAATTGGCAAAGCCATGTTTTTATTTAATCGATACGATATCCCATTTACAAGGTAAAAAGATTCATGTACCTGAACGTGTACACCATGCGAATGCAACCGCTGGCGCCGGCAATAATTTCTAACCTCTCTCAACAAATCTCATGTCACGATATCGCGCTATATTTATCTTATTTATAGCAAATACTTGTTCGCGACACCCTTTAAGTTTATTGTCAAAATGTGTCAAAAAATAAGCTATCTTGACAAAAATTGTCAGATTTGTACACAGATGTCTATAGACATCTGTGGATTTTTAACGACCTTTCTTGTTTCTTGTTTCAAGCTCACGAATATTTCAAAAAACGCGCTTTGAAAAATGATAAAAGGATTTCCTACTTCCGATTTAGGCTGCATCCCCATGGTTGCGTTCCAAAATTCACTCTGGGTAAAGGCCTTCACACATAAAATGCCGTAAGGACATAAAACGTAAGCGTAAGAAAATCTATCAATCCCAATCGAGTATTTTCTCCTACTGGGATTACGTACAGCGTAATACTTGATTGGGATTGGTCGATTTTCTTACGCTTACGTTTTACGTCCTTACGCGATTTTGTGTGTGAAGACCTTAACTAAAATCTATAGTTTACGTCACGTACACTATAGCATTTTAGTTAACTAGAGTGAATTTTGGGACGCACCCCATGAGAGAAAGCAATAGCAGCCACGGATAGCAACTTTGATATATGCATCAGAGAGAAACCTGAGTGACTCGGCACTCGGCGAGACGCGAGGAGTGATACCCGAAATGCATGGCATCGTACGGCATAGCCGGCGGCTAAGCAGCTACGTCACAGCTCAAGCGAGAAGGAGACAGCAGGTCCTTCTCTCCCCGCTCGAAGCTTGCCATAGAGATATAAGATAATAGAGTGCGCGAGTCATATGCTAGCACGTAAGAGGCTGCGATATAGGAATAGAAAAAGAACGCTGCATATAGGCCCTTTCTGTCTTTGTCTACGCGTGCATGCGAAACAAAGACAGAAGGGGCCCATGCGCAGCTTTCTCTTTCTATTCCTATATCTCTTTTTCAGCTCGCTCGCGCACTCTATTCTTATATCTCTATGAAGCTTGCCGAGTGCCGAGTCAGCCGACTGCTGACATAAAGCCACCTGGAGCCACCGCACAAGACTCTCGTATGGTCACGTAACGTAACGTAACGTGAATCAACGCACAAGAAACGTATCGGTTAGAGCCTCCGCACAAGCTCTCGTATGGTAACATAACGTAGATCAACGCACAAGAAACGTATAACGCCGTAACGGCCGTAACCAATACGTTTCTTGTGCGTTGGCTCACGTTATATGTTATAATAGACCGGTTTTCACATGCAATGATTGGTGGCGCCAGGCCGCGCCAGTCGACTAACGCCAGTAAAAATGCAAGTGTAAACACTTGATACAAACTGGCGCTAGTAATGTGGCGTTTACTGGCGGCTATTGGCCAAAGCATATAACCTCAAATTCTGAGGTTATATGCTTGCTGTCATTTACTGTGTGTTTAACCCTAGAATCCATGACTGGGGTCGATTTCGACCCCAGGCGAACTTTGAACTACGCTCCTGAGCTAGCGAGTGACATTTTCGACTCAGGACCTGAACCATAATTCATTTCAACTTTCTAAAAGTAGGGTTATGTCGGGCGCAGCGTTAGTTGTTCGCTAGCAGTGAAGTAGCACAGTCGCAAAGCGGGCGTGGGGTCGATATCGACCCCAGTCGTGACTTGCCGTTTGAGTTTCGTCACGGTAAGCTAATTTTATTTTTTTGCTAGAATCAATATATATCATGTATTATTACGTAATCTGAGCATAAATAGTCATAAATATTATTTAAGACGAAATATCACACAATTTAGTCGGTAAAAATCCCGTTGCCTATAGAAGATTGACATTTCGCAGAAAATGGCTGGGCGATATAATGTTTCATTTTTTTCATATTTTTTACTATTTTGTATCAAATAAAAATGAAATAATACTTAAAATACAATTTTTTATGGTTTTTTTCATCGACTTTTTCCGTATTTCAACTTTGCGAATTTCTTCATCTTTATAGTCCCAAATAAATATACTTTTTGAACAGAACATAGCGATGACAATTTTTTTCTAATAGTCTAATGTGTCCTCTTTAAAACCCCGTTTGAATTTTTAAAATCGGTTGATTACAAAAAAAGATACAAATTTTTGTTTAAAAAAAGAGGTTTTTGCTGATTTTCTGCGTTTTTCAGTCTTTAAATGGATTTTTCACTAACTAAACTTGAGTAAAATTAAATTTACCGTATACCATTCTCTTCGTTATTAAAAAACGAAGAAATTCATGTAGGTTTAAAGGCCCTTTATTTCTGTAGGACCGGTTTTACGATCAAATAAAGCGTGGGGTCGATATTGCCCCCAGTCATGGATTAGAAGGTCAAAAAAATGAGTCATGGATTCTAGGGTTAAAGGCCTGGATAAGAAATCGATTTATATTCTGGAATTTTTGTTCTATATTATTATTGTTATTATTATGTTACAGATCAAAGAGAATGTACTGCCATTAATAAAAGCTAAGGAGCGACTTGCAGATAAAAATAAATGTAATAATAAATTTCTTTC